GTGACTTCCTCGGTGAAACATGAAGGGGTTTTTTTATTTTATTTTAAAAAAGTTTCTGTTGTTGTTTTCAAAACTCCTCCCCCAGTAAATGAAAGCAAGCAAAGGTACTGCCTTGAAGAACGATGATGTTAAAACTGATATGATTGTATGTCATCACAAGGCTCTGTATGTTTTGGTTTTGACTATTTGTGAATGTTCACAGATTTCCAATTGCTGTGTATTTGCTTGAAAATTCAGTACTGAAGTAGCAGATGACTACTTGTCTTGTGGGCTGATTTGCACAGGTACAAAGTACAAATTACTTATGAGGCAAGTGGCATTGTTTATTCACCATATGGGTTCTGGCCAGTACTTTAGCATTTATACCTCTAAACCCACTTGTTAAACATGGAAAAATTAAGGTGGGGCAGAAACAGTACTGAGATACACTAGGAATGTTGGCAAGATACGATTAGGTGCTTAAAAAGGAGTAAAAGATCCAAATGTGCTGTTGATGGGAGATGCTGTTTCTGGAGCCATGCAGCAAAGGTTGAGGGGATCTGTTAAGTTGGAGGTTCTTAGCACTGGAAGCATTAAAAGTATCAAAGTGCAACCATGAAAGCAAAACAATGCCAGCAAAAAAATGCCAACAATTTGCAATTCAAAATAACCATAAATTTGATTTAATGACAGAATAAACATCAACAAACAGTTTTTATAATTAATTACATAAATTGGCAACAGCATTTTTATGGATCTGAATTGCTTTTTAAATATTCCCTGAAAAAAAAATTGTGAGCTATCATAGGCATTACAGGTGCGTGTGTGTATAGACATACGTTTGCAATCTATTCACGCAGATACCTCGACACACACGTAATAATATGAACACGCGCACACATTATATATATGCTTTTTAAAGCTCGTCAGTTCTTAAAAGGGTTAAGCGGTTTTAAAATTACCTCAACCCACTGCTTAAACATTGTTGCCTTAATTAATAGCTGCTAACATATGAAGGGCTTGTCTTGGCTCTCTGAGTACAAAAAAAAAAGCAGCAGCATGTCAGGGAGCTCCACTGTACACTGTTTCTTGTCTATGCCATTAAAATTAGTCATTGAGGCTAAAATGTGAAAGGTTTGTTGTTTCTGGTACAAGGGGACACACCAACACCTGTAACTTCTTGCCCTGAGAGTCTCCCTGTGTAGCATTTTGTCTGTGGTTTAGTTTGGATTTTTTTTTTTTAAAGGAATTTCATGGGGTTTTTTAATAAAAAGCAGCGTCTATTGATACTTTTTACTGATTTAGTGTTTCTGAATGCATTTTGCAATGAACAAATATGGGATGAAACTTTCAACAGCTACTTATTAATTTAGCTTAGCCGGAGTGAAAGCCAGTCCTTTCCAAACGCGGAGTTAAAGGTATTTTGGAGGACTGCCACTACCCATGAGCCAATATGCAAAGCAGCATTTCTATAATCCTTTTTCCAGTGCTAATAAAGTTTGTCCCTTGTGCCAAGTGGCGAGGCTGCGTAAACTTGAGAGTGGAGGTTGAGGAAGAACTTCCCACCTCTCCCTGTATTAAATGCTTTAAGTAATAAAGACACATTTTTCTTACCCGTTTCTTCACAGATAAGACACCACCTCTAGTATGTAGCGGTGTTGTAACAACACACAGTCCTGTTGTCCACACAGGACTTTATTATAGTTTCCATGTAACCAACACAGATTTGATTTTTTTTTTTTTTTTTTTTTTTTAATTCTGGATTTGGTGACTTTCCTTACAAATGTTGTTGCTTGTATTTGATGTTCCCATTCCCAAATCTGATGCATGTGCAGACTGAATCCACATGGCCTGTTGCAGCTGGGTCATGTTCCAGGCAGTTCAAACAGCAGTTGGGCAAAACAACTTGGAAACTCTGCGACCGATTAAACGCGGTGCCATTTCAAAGCCCTTTCTTTGCGCTGACTTGGTTGCCTGCGGTAGCAGGGACCATAGCTTACAGCTGAGGTAATCTTTTCCAAACCTGGCCGGGGGGATACAGGAGAGCAAAGAGGGTAGCGGGCGAATCCTTGGGATGGCAGCAGCGTTGTTGGACAGGTGGACAATGCTCTGCTCGAACGGCAGAGCTGCCTTACTGTGGCACTTAAGTCTGTGACAACCTAAACGATGTCTTGTGTGGAACGGGCAGGACGATGAGTTTTTGCACAGTGTCTCACTTGTGTTCTGTAGTGGAGATTGTTGGAGACCACTGTAACTTTGGTTGTGCTGGCACAGGGAGCGTGGGCAGGAGGGCACACCGAGCTGCTGCTGACACAGGGGAGTCTGAGGAAAAGGAGTGGTTGCTCTGAAACGTGAAAAGCAAAGCCACGCCGAAATTAAATTATGACATTTAGCCTTGGTTAGAACCCCCAGGAAGATTTCTATTCCCACGCTAACCACTTGTTTTTGCAGCAGCAGCTCCGCTGTGGAAGTGTGAAGCATTTTCCACATGCACCTTAGAGAATGAAACATAGAGCGTGACCTTCACTGGCTGAGAGGTGCGTAATTCCCCCTAAACTTGCACTATTTTTCACCTCCTGGTATCGTGAGTGGGGCAGGTTGTGTGTCATCCGCCCACTCTTCCCTGTGCTCTTCTCCCTACACAGCCCCACGGCAGGCTATTGTTAGGCATGAACGCTAATTGCTGGTATTTCAAGGCTCCTATCTTCTTATTGCTAAAGCCTGTAACAATAATCACAGCCTATATTCCCTATCTCTAGGCATCAAGGAAACAAGATACGATCGCAGGCAGGGTGCTCCTGTAACTGTAGTATATAGAATATGAGCCTTTTTGATGTAAACACAGGCCCGGCCGCATCCTATGATAGCTCTTCCTACGCTCCATAGGCTGGCTGTGCCTAGGCTCACCGCTCAAGTCCCCATTATGTATACATCTACCCTTGTCATAACACCACCTCTGAAACACTCACACCGTTTGGTCCTGCTGCATAATGTTAAGAGGGTGGAATTTTAAATTGAAAAAGGCTGTTTAAGTAATGTCAGCAGCCTGACTAATTTCACAAAAGGAAGGAAATTCAAAGTTAAGGCTATGGTATATTCTTATCTAGATGCCTGAAGACTTCTGCGCGTGACAATATGCCCCTAAAATTCAGAGCTGTCCCTTATGTCTTTAATTTCTCCCATTGTGTCTCTCCTTTTTTTATTAAACATCAAAGTGAATTCACAACAGAGAGTCAGCCTAGAATTTAATCCTCTAAATACCTTGAAAATAGAGGTTTAGACTAGAAGTACCAATATATACCCTTAAAACTTCAGCGTAATATAAAAGAGATTCTAATCACAACAGATCATTACAAAGAAGAGTAAACCACTTTAAAAAAATTAAGTGTCTTAAATATAATAAAAAGGAATAATTAAGAATCAAACAGGAAGCTGCACTTCTGACAATTTAATGATGCTGAATTGGACTGAAAGAATTGGCTTTGCCATTAAAAGGCAAGGAAAATCTGATAATTTCAAAATGGCAGTAGGATCAGATCAAGTGGGGTTTTTTGGGTTGTTCTTTTTTTCTTTTTAATCAAATGCAGCAGAACCAGAAAGAAATGGTAGAATTCACCTTAGAAAAACCCTGGAGTATTTTGGATTCCTACTGCTGCCTGGGGCTGAAGCTGTTATTTTATCAGACCTGCTTAACATCTTTAGACTAGGGTCTTCCGGGGAATATATTACCACGTGGAACCTGTGGAAAGTAATGTGGCAGCCCTAATTGCCAAATAAAATAGTAAAAGATTGATGTTCTTTTCATTCTTCTTTAATTAAAAAAAAGGGGGGGGGGGGGGGAAGAATTAAAAAAAAAAAGGGGGGGGGGGGGCGACGACTTACATAACAGTATCCAGGGCATTACAGCCGGTTACAGTAGGAGTTTTCCACTGTGTGCAACATGTAAATGGAAGTAGAGTAGATGATGTGCCTTGGGTCTTTGTATATGAGCGCAGAGACATTCATCCAAATGTTTAAAATCAACCAAGCAAATCTTATAAAATGCATGCCACAACTGTACACCTTATTTGCACATGTGCTTACCATGACTGTATGCAAATTACAGCCATTTATTTACTGTTACTCATTCTCTCAGCATTTGTGTCTTATGGTTGAGCATAACTAGGTGCACAGTTACAAGCACTTAATAGATTGCACAGTTTGATTATTAATTACTGGAGGGGCAGGTTTGGTATTTTCTACCCAAGAATCTTAGGAACTGAACTTGGCCAATTGCTGTGGTGTGTATTGCCACGGAGAAAGGTGTGATTAATAACAATCAATTGGTATGTATTTATACTGTGGAAATAAATCCAAGAAGGTGAGATAAAATTACCTGTTACAAGAAACCATGTTCAGTGAGAAAATACCCATTTGGGGCATCAACAGCACCTAACCGGAACACAAAGGCAAAGCCTTAAAACACAGAAGCAAGTAGAAACAACACGGAATCGCTGTTTTTTCCATCGTTGCACGTTCTCATCCATGTTGCTTTCCTCTACGCTGTTCTTATACGTGCTGCATGTTATACGTGCTACAGAAAGTAACGTTCTGTGCGTGCTGATCCCGCTTCCATCCGAGCTCTCCAAATTCAATGTTATCGCTATACCTTCAAAAATTCTACATTCAAAAATCAGCTGTTGCTAAGTGGGATGGGTCCTTTGAACGCTGCTCAGAATATTTCAAGGTGTGGAGAACTCATAACCGTCTTGTTACCTATAAAGACTGTATGTCAAACAAATAACAAAAAAATAAAACCCAAACAAAACCCCCAAAGCCTCAAAGCCCAGCCCGTTTGTTGCAGGCTCTGTGGAGGAGCCTTCGACTCCTGGGGTTCTGCTGCCATCCTGCGGCCAGCCGGGTTGTCGGCACCCGGCGCTTCTCCCCCGGGGCCGTCACCAAAAATAAGTTCGTGGGTGGGCTTTTCCCTCTCTCCTTGCAAGGGACTCTGTAACCGGCTGCCTCCCCTGCGTGGTTTGCTGTTACCAGTCTTGATTTGACTTCTGCTTGATGAACCTCAGGGATAAGTAGTACAAAAGCAGGAAACTGCAAATGATACCAGCGAGGACGAGGTAGCTTACATAGAGAGGATGGGAGTCCAGGTCCAGGGCCTGAATGACCTGTAACCACAGATAACGCAAAATTAGGAACAGAGGCAAAATGTTGACGCTAGATCTGTGAAGTTTTATGCATGAGCTTCCCTGGCCCCTGCCACCTTTTCCCTCGGTTTCTAGCTGGATGTGACTTCCAGAGCGGTTTGATAGCTGGTTACAGCTATGCTATGTCTAGGGGCTGTGGTGTTTCAGAGGAATACGGTTCAGCTGCTGAACTATTTCAGCCAGGTGTTGTTTTGGAAAATATTTTTTTTTTTTTTTTTTTTTTTTTTTTTTTTTTTTTTTTTTCCCTCTTCCACTGAAAAGAAAGGGATAAAAGGCATAGGGATATCTGCAGGGACAAATTTAAAATATACCAAGTGTAACCTGACTTCATGTATTGATTTGGTACTTGTCAGTTTTGAGGCCTACAACATCTACTTAAATATGATGGGCATATAAATAGCATTCTCATTAGTCATCAAACATCTGTAACAATTTTTATTAGTGACTTACAAGTTTCCCTGGTATTTGAAATGTAGTATTTCCAACAGTCATTTCGTATCTGAGGTCAGTGAACTGAATTTGCATCATGCCTTGAAAATTCCATCGGAGAAAAGAGATTTTAGAAAACCAAAATGGAACTGGAAAAAAAATGGCAGAAAGAAATACATTGATATGCGTGCACAAAACTTACTTGAGACCTCAAAACCTGCTCTGTCGCTGCCAAATACAGCAGGTTTATCTAATTTCTTGACAATGAGAGGCTGTAAACACATAGCAGTTTATTACTGGACAAAATGGCAGATAAACTTTATATTATTACACGGAGATGGAAAATTAGGAGAGCGCTAATATCTGTATCCATCAAACTCCTACTGTCAACTAAGTCTCACTGGAGGTCAATCTTCATCTGCTGGAGTTGAGCTGCTCACTTGTGCTTTTTTGACCAAACTTCTTTTTACCTCGTTTTCAGATGGAGAAGCTGATGTAAAATGACGATCTGACACCACCATCACCACCCAAGAGGATAATTGCAAAGGTAGGAATAAAGCTGAGTTTTCCTGCACACAGCACATTCAGTCTCACAACAACCAGTCACTAATGAAAACCATCGATGTTTCAGTTCGGAGGGATGGTGGGAGCTTTGTCTTACCCGTCCAGAGGTTTTCCAGGCTTATCACAAAACCACCACTCAGGTAGAATGATGTAAAAAGGACGTTGCTGAAGAAGGCCGAGAGCTGTAACGTTGGCAGCAGCGCTGCCATCCAAAGTGCCATCGTGCGGGCACTGTATACAGCCAGCCGAAGGGAGGAAAAAAAAAAAACCAAAAAAAAACCAAACAGAAAAATAAGTTGAATTATAATCTCGAAACCTGCTGAGATGTACCTTGGTGTACGTGTAGGCTGTTTACAAAAACTACAGGAAATACTCCCTTAGAATGCAATCACCTCCCTGTTAGGTGTTGTCAGTGACATGCAAAAACAATCCACCACAAAAATTGAAATCCTCACTATTTTTTTCCTCCAGTTGTGACAATTCCTATAACTAATTGTTAAAATGAGAGGATTCTTGTTACAGATTAGATGTCTTGTTTTGTAACAGTTTTGGCAGCTTCTAAGAATTTAAGACGCTTTCCCTGAGAACTGGTGCGCTTGATAACAGTAATACTGTTACTGACTGACTGCAACTGTATGTTTTTGTCCAAATTTGGTTGAACCTAGTGTGAGATCAAATTTGAGACAAATTTGGCTGTTGGTCGCTTCCCCACTTTGTCCCAAAGGCAGTCCAGTTAGTAACTACTCAACTCTTTGTAAAACAAAAACACGCTTAGGATTTCCTCAAATAACTAAAGATATGTATAGAGAGTATTATGATTATTTCTTCCAAAGAGGGTTGCTACTATCCTCTAATACTAAGGTTGTAACAAATTACATCGATTTCTCTATGAATAATGTGCAATCTTTGTGACACAATGCAAAGAATATTTTTCTCTGGCAACCACTAATAAGCATTTAAAATCTTGTGCAGAAATGGAAACCTAAATTACAGATGCCATGGCAGGCAGAACTCATCTAACAGTGGCAACATCACAAAGAAGGGATTATTCTAAACCACCATGAAAAAGAGAATGTAATTTTTTTTAAGTTCTAATTTATATCCAGAATCTTTGGCTCTTTATGCACTTAATACAGTTGTTTGTCTCTGACCAGTACAGGCCCAAACAGCTACTGGAAGTGTCACAGTTGGTATTTTGTCATTTCTGTTTTACCTTTGCTTTAGCATTTAATATGAATGTAATCAAACTTTCTAAGAAGCTTAGCAAATAAAATATGCGGGTATGTAAAACTGTCTAAACCCTCAAATTTGAGTTTGAGGTTTCTCAAATTCTGGCCAAACAATGCAGTGAAAGACTTTTCTTTAGCTTTTCTGGGGTGGGGTCTCAGCCATGACTTACGTCTCAGCCAGATCTAAAGTAATGTGAGGTTTTTTTCTACTAATGCCAAGGAAGCAAGAACAGCAGCCTGAGCTGGCAGACGCAAAAGAACAAAGTCTGATATGAATGTGATCATTTATGCAACAATGCTTTGGTTTGTTTGTGTTTTTTAAGATTAAAGCCAGCTGTTTGTATTTCCTGGCAACAAAAACCAGTTACCTTAGCAAAGAAGTATGGGCTAACAGAGTACATTCCATCTTCCAAGTCATGATAAAGCATGGCTCTTTCTGAATGACCTGCAGGGTAGGAACAAACAGGTTGGTTTCACCCTAGGGATGCATTAATAAGTATAATTTTTTCATTGATTTAGGAATTGCCTGATTTTGCTTGCTTATAACAAGAAAACTGGCACTTACATTTGGCAATAACATCCAAAATCACCGTGAATGGGATTAGTGCACCTATCATGTACAACAATGCTGTTGTGTCACGAATAGAGAGTCTGGTTTTCTCATGGCCATAGTACAAAAATCCAATTAATAATGACATGAGAAGAGCCTCAAATCCATGGATTAGTAACGTTGAAAGATCTCTGAAGTCATTGGAGACTTGACGACTAGGAAAACAGCAACATTGACTGTAAGGTATAGTGCTTACTAATGGCGGTTATATTTACATATGTTGCCCCAAACGCTCTGCTAAAATCAATTCGTGGAACTTGTTGACTTTCAGTAGGACAGGAGTTGGGCAGTCAGTTTCTGTTAAAGGATTTTACCTAGTCAAAGCTATTGAGCGTCTGTGGCTACGTCGTATTTCAGGTCTGATACGCTGAAATCTTGAAGGAAGGCAATGGGGGTGGGATAGTCTGACTTTGGAGACGCAGAAGCAATTACTTTGGTTATAGATGTCTCTCTGTTAAGGACCTGTATCATACGCTAGCAACAGCTGATACTGGTAGTGATGTTCTACGTGTATTAAACCAGTTGATCATGTTTCTTTAAAGTACATGAGCATGAGATCCAACTACGACACTCACCTGTGCTGGCTATAGTCAGTGAAGCCTCCTAGCTTCAAATCTGAGGCAAAGGTGTGAGGATAGCAATGCCTGAGCCTAGCACGCAGCTGCCTGGGCTTGCTGAGGGCTGAGTCACCATGAGTCATGGGCATCAGGATGGCAGTACCCCAAACTGGAGCGAACATTCTTGAGCCTGGAGGCTCCTGCTGCTCCTTAAAGCCGCAGGCTCCCAGCAGTGTGAGCTGGAGGTGACCGTGTCTGGATGGAGCCCTGGGACAGAAAGGTGGGGCCATACACCTGGCTGCTGTCCTGCTTGGGGGGCTGGGGTGAGCCAGTATTGTTAACACCTCTGGTCTATGGCTGGCTTAGGCCTAGAACTAGCTCTGTGCTTTCAGCATTTACTCAGTTCTCATTTTGTGCTCCTTTCTTGTGCTTTACAATACAAATGGTACATAACGATACATAACTGTTTATGCCGGAGCTAAGGTTACCTTAATAATATCCTGAACTGCTTTAAGACTCCTGGTAACTGATCACTTGAATGGTGAGGCATGTTGATAGCCTCTTCTGAGTTTAAATCAGACCTGCCCAAAAGAAAAGAGAAAAAACCCTGAAATTATCACAGGCTGTAGCTGTTATTCCAGAGCTGCTTTATGATGCGCTTTTCTTTACCTTTGCTTGCTGAATGTGGTCGCAACATTATCTTCTTCAGTAACTTTCCATAAGAAATCATCAAAATCTTTGACTTTTTCTAGGAACAAGTTGGCAAGAGTATTTGCTCTTTCTCGGCTTTCCATCTCCTTTTCTGCAGTCTGTTTATCAATACTGGTCAAATCAACTGCAAGACATGATTTGACATGAGTCCATGTGCTACAGATATGATAACTTTATGATGTGTTTAGAATCAGAGAGTTCATTGTGAACAGACAGTATGACCTGTGTGCATGCATTAAGCTGCAATGGTTAAAACTTTATCAGTTACTTTAGGTAACTAGAGGAGAACAGATTGTTAATGTGTATTTTGCCTTGGGAGATGCTTCTTATCTAGTCATTCAATGAATCACTGAGAGATTTGATAATTGTTTATTATAATACTGTAAAATACTATTTCAGTTTTTTTCTAAGTTTAATAATGGCTTGAAGAGGGGTGCTGAGAATAAGCAGTTTGACTTTCCTTCCTGGCATGTAGGCATTTACAATCTGTTATGTGACTTTGACTTAAATCATTTGGGTTTTTTCTCCATCTGCAAAATGATAGTTATCATTTTTTGTATCTTATAGAGGTGCCATAAACTTTACCTGATACTGAGAAAGCCCAAGAAGAATATTAGCCAAGGACAACATAGTAGCAGCAATAATAGTTGACTTAGCATTATTTTTTTACTTAACAAAATAATTTTTTTTTAATCTAAACTTTTAATATAATTTTCCCATGCTGACCTTCAGTGTAGAGTGACAACACCTCAAGTTTTGCAGATGCTTTCAAAGCGAATTATTGCTGCACATTTCCTAAATCCTTACGTTGGGCTGATGATCTCTCTTCAGCTGCTCTTCAGCAGGCGTTCATCAGAAATGAGTTGCAACCTGCCCTAATTCTTCCCTTCTGCCATAGTCTCCTGTTTCTCTATCAGACACACAGCCAGTGTTTGAGAGTTTCCATCAGGTGCTCCTTCATGCTGTGGCATCGTCTACCATCCCGTCCCATTTCCACCTTCCTTCTGGCCATATTTTTCTTCTCTTCCTATGGGTACTGACTCTGTGCATGCCACTAAATACTCTTCCACCTCCCTTTCTCATCCCTCCCCACCTCCAGGTCGTGGGGGTTTGTCTCTGTAACCACAGGCTGTAGCTACAAGTTTCCCCAGAACTGCCTCATATTCTCCATTCTCCTGCGGGGGTGCTGCAAGCTTTCCTCAAGGCTGTGCTTGGCCAAAGACTGCTCTGAACCATGGTGATGACAAAGGTCTTTTTACAGGGCTTGACATTGAGGTCAACTTCTGCTTATCTCTGCACAGCTGATACGAGCTGACACTGCCTGCCACATAGGCACAGCCGAAGAGGTCATTCCAGAACACTGAGGTTAGTGTCAGTACAAGATTTCCTAGCCAACTTGAGTGCAAAGACCTAGGTGCTGGAATGGAACCAACTTCTGTGGTAAGAGACTACCGCCATTCGATTAACGGGACCAGATTCCCTTTGCATGTTGCAAAAAACCAGAAGAGGAATGGATTTGGAACCATGTAGTTAACTTTCTTTGAGAAGAGGAATAAAAGGATTGCTGTTCTGGATTTGGGTGGTTGTGGTTTTTGGTGGGTTTTTTTTTTGTCTCCCTTCCAATGTGCTCTGTCGGGCAGCACTCCTCTTTCCCATTTGGTGTTCCAGGTGTGTGTTATTCCTCACCCTGGGAAACGAGCTTCCCACATTTCTTGATTCAGAAGTCTGAGAACTGGCTACAGAAAGCAATTGATCAGTTCATCCATGTCTGTCTTAGTGAGGGTAAAAGTTTCAACTAGCTGAAACATGGGAATAAATGTGCTAAACGTGTGGAAGAGTTGCTACACCTGGCAGAGTTAGAAGTAGTATTATTTAAAATTGATTTTGTCCATACCTCCTGTTTTTTTTTTTTACATTTCCTGTACTGGCAAATAAGGATCTTATTAAAACCTGAACTTGCTATCGTATTGATTTGAGTCAGTTCTAATGCATTTCTAAGACAGTTATGTTCAATAAAAATCAATGTTAGCTGATACACTTACAAAAACAAATGATTTCCAGTAACCTTTTTTATAGCAGTGCTTGATACTAACCATAGAAATCTGCAGGATTGCTGTACCTTGGGCAGGGATAGCCTAGTTCTGTGAAATACGGAACCATGTCTCGAGCTGTTCCAGAATAGACAGTGACTCCAGAAGTCATCAGAAGAACTAAATCAAACAATTGGAAGATATCTGACCGGGGCTGATGAAGTGAAAGAAGAACTAATCTGTTTCCTCTGGCCAGTCTGGATAATGTTATCACAAGGTTATGTGCAGTAAAACTGTCCAGTCCAGATGTGGGTTCATCGAGTATGAGTATTCCTGCCAAAGACAATAAGTTTAGCAGTGGAAAGCAGCATGTTTGATTTGGAAAATATGTTCTAAGTGAAATGGTGGAGTGCATGAAATTGCACAGATATATTCCTTCTTTTTTTAAAGTCCAAAGTATATTTCTTACCAGCGTCACATAATATTCAACAATGGCAATTTCTCACACTATCTTACTGAACATGATGACCAAGAGTAATTACTTTAAATCGTATCTTGCTCCCACTGGAAACAAGATTTTTTTATTTTATTTTATTTTATTTTTGTTATTTTTCACTGGGATGCAGATTTAGGTTCCTTACTAAATTTACGTTCTTCTCTGCAGTTTTTGCACTTTGCCTGTACAAATATCAGGTACATGAATATTAATTAACACAATAGTATTCGTTTTGTATCCTACCTACTGAAATATTTTTATCTAAATGCTCAATATTTAAACCTCTTGCATTATTCATATGTAAATACTCACACAGTATTAATTTAGATAGCTGCTCCTCCCAACCTGTGCTCTGGTTTGTACCTGTTTGCACATATATGCAAAGAGACATGCATATGCTTGGAATTTGTTTGCTTGTTTTGCAATTGGTTGTTACAAACTTGAAAGAGTTTTATTATTTTGTGGTGTTTGTATTGTTACAGAACTTAATGACCTCAATCATCAGAGCAAGGCAATGTCTGTACCCCAGACATGGTCTCTGTGCTGATGGGTGTAATGCATGTTTGAAGTGTAAAGAAAGCTTTACTTATTTTTCCTAGAATTAATTATTTTTTACTTCTGTACTATCACATCTATTCCTGAGCATCACTTTTCACAAAAAAAAAGACTTCTGCTTTCCCCATAATTACAAAAAATATAACTTTATACAAGCAAAAAATTCTCAGATCCATTTCCCAGTGGAAGAGCTGATGGGAAATCTAGCTCAACAAGAGGCTCAGCCAGGATTATTAGTGCTTTTGAGAGAGAGAGAGATATGAGCAGATAGGGGATTCAATCCTGCAAAATCAGCTGCAGATTTAGCCTCATATTTTGCTTCTACTGAAGATGATGGAAATTTCTATTTCACCTGTGGCGTGAGCCAGCCACGTCAGTGAGTTGCACAAGACCACAATGGCTGACTATGCAGCCAAGAAAATGACCTTCCCTGTTAATGTTGCACATGGAAATGGGCTGCGCTGGAGGAAAGGAAAACAATCCTGATGTTATAATAATAAGCCAGCAGCCTTCCAAAGTAACTTGTGGCCTGTGGTCAGATAAAAACCAAACCTCATACTGATATGCACAAACCAGAGCACTGCTGCAAGGATGACTTCAGGCAACTTTCAGTAGTCTGTCTGATAGTGCTTTTAGGGAGTGGCGGGTGAAGGCTCCTAGGGGTGCTCTGCCTGGCTCTGTCGCTGCTGCTCCATTGGCAAAGGTGACAGAAGCCAAGGTGGGCTGGCTCCTGAACTGCTCCATTTACAGAATGATTACAGTAATAATTACATTATTATCTGTGATCAGAACTGATTTCAATTCAAGCAAACGGACTAGCACCCAGTCACTGTGCCAACTTTGCTATGGAGAGGTGACCTCTGGCAGAGGGTGGTGCAAGACCTGTTAAGTGTCTGTTAAGTACAAACTCCCCAAGCTGCCCCAGGGGCAACGGTGTGTATGACTCTGCCCTGAAAGGCCCTATCTTCATAGAATCATAGAATGCTTTGGGATGGAAGGGACCTTTAGAGGTCACCTAGTCCAACCCCCCTGCAGTTCATTTGCTCCCCCATTTCTCCCAGTGGTCTGTGGTGGGCACAAGGAAGGTGTCAGGGTTTTGCTCACCTGGATTCCAGAGCAGCTGCACACCGATGCTCACTCTCCGCCTCTCGCCTCCCGAAACACCGCGGAGGTACTCGTTCCCTACCCTGGTGTTTGCACACTGACGCAAGCGTAGTTCTGCTATAACGTCTTCTACCTGGGGGGGATCCGAAGGGTAACAGAGATAAAGCAAGACTTTATTTGCACATTTGTGCATAGATAAAACTGAAAATACGATTAAGGTGGTTAAAATTCATCTGGATATTTTAGTGCTATCTGATCAAGAGAGACTTGAAAACAAATCTTGATTTTTAGAGATAACATTAAAAAGGCTCGGTGATCAGCAATTTAGTTCTTCTTTCACCCTCCCTAATGCTTTCTCTAGATTGTCATTTTTTTATGAGCTTTGGAACAATTGCTGGTTTCTATCTTGAAAGAAGAAAAAGGTTTATAATTCATAATCTACATAAAAAAAATGCCAGATTAGGTGTTCTGACTCCAAACACACAGAATCTCTCGGATAACTCCTGTCAGACACATTTTTGACAACTTTATTTTTTTCCAACAGCTTAATTACCCTTTTTTTCCTTTGTGAGTCTGAAAAAAACTTTGGAAGGCGCAGTTTGGCAACGAACAATAGCGTTTCTCTGACAGTCAGGTGGGGGAGCAGTCGGTCATCCTGACGCACGTGTGCGATGCATTTCTTAACAAGATGGGGAGTGCTTGGTTTGTTATTGATCATGATTTGACCAGACTTGATTTTGCCTCCATGATCCCGGCAAGTTATCACATCAAGCAAAGATGTCTTTCCACCAGCTAGGAAAATCAAAATTGAAAGTGAAATTAATTTCCAGGGGATTATTTTGAAAAGCTGATTTAGTCACAGACAGAGGATGTAAATTTTCATTCCCTAACACCTTTTCCCCAACCCTTTCTGAAACTTTTCCAAAGCCGCAGAGACAGAGTGGTCTTGAAAGAAAATACTGACACAAGGCTACAAGCTCACGTTCGGGAAATCTCTCGCCTCTGGAACGGAGCATGTGGCTTCAACCTTGGTCGTTTCTCAGCAGATCTGGGTTGTTGGGTGTTGAGGATAGCTCCACGAACTCAAGAAGCAAGATCTCTTTGTCCTCTTGTTACCTCTCTTTCACTTTTGAAACGTAGGTGAAAGGTGCTATCCTACGCTGGCTGCAGGGCTGGCAACTAAATGCTCGGCAAGAGCTTGCTTTGTGGAGGGAATCGCGAATTCAGAAACAGCAGCTGAAACAGCTGAATGACTAAGGTGCTGAATGATTATACAGACAATAAGAATCATAATCATGATTGAAATAAAAATTATTATGACTTAAATAAGACAAAAAGTCGTTTAAACAATTAAGAACAGCTGGCTCATACTCAAAGGTAAGAAAAGTAAAACAATGAAAACAAAACCTGATTTGGAATGAAATAGAAAATGATTTTTTCCTTTTTGCTGTATGATACTGTATGTAAACAGACAGAACTCTCTTATTATGATTAGATGTCATTTATTTCTAGTCTCCCTGTTGAAAGATTAACTCCACACTTGTTTCTTAATATATACATTTTAAAAAAGAAACCCATCCATCTGTAAACCACGTATTGCTCTATTTAAGAGTGACATATTGATTGCCATTGACAGTGTGAAACCCATCAGCAGTTTAATCCGTTTTACTAAGGCATTTGATGAAATAGATGATAAACAGCTTTTAAAAATAGTTTGACTAGTTTGCTGAAAGGGGTTTGTGCTCAGTGTATGTTACCTTACAAAGGTGCTATATCTATAACTCAGTGTATTATTTCATCACAAGCTTTTCCTTTTATTATCAGGAGAATCTCTAAGGTACAATTTCAATTACATGAAGGATATGTGCTAAGAAAAAATTCCCATAGCAATGTGGAAGAAAAACCTCTTTTGTAGAAATAAAGTTAAAGCTTCTTTGGCAAATATGCCTTGCCTTTGAGAGAGAGCATCTTCACTGATTTCACTGAGCTAACCTGATGTAAGACTCTAGTGGAGACACAGCATGGGGGTATTTACCTCCAAAGTATCGGTACTTTTTCCTGCAGTTTAACAGGTCACGCGTCTACTTAGCCCCCTAGATGAGCTTAGACTCAACTAACCACATGAGGTAAAGGCCATCTCTCCATTAGTCAACCTCACCCTGGAGAAAATTAAAAGAGTCCCACCAGAAAATGAAAGGAAAAAAAATAAATGTAAGAAAGCAGAGGCCCATTTTAAAGCCAAACAGAAGAGGAATTGTCTTGCCTTCTCCGTAAGTTTCTCTTAATTAATCCAAATGCATTATTTTATCCTGTTAGAAGTGTTTCAGTCTGAAGGGAATTCCTGCTTATAGCTATGCAAGGTGCCGCTGATCTTTCTTATGGGGTCTGGCCTCGTTTGTCTGCTGCATTACTGGGTAAGGTCTGCAATTGGCCTGTTTTGAATCTGAGCCACAAAGCTGATTCATGTCGAGCAGAGCTGGGACTGCAGGCCACAGTTGTATACCCCGCTACAGCTCAGGAAAGAAACAGCAAATGTGTACAAGTCATGACAAAATTGGTTTTGAAAAGAAATTTTAATTTTTTTTCCATTCTTCGTTTCCTCATGCTTTGCTTCCTCATACGTTTTAAAGAACGTATTTAAGTGATGCATTTGCATTAGTTGTTTCTCAACTAGATTTCACGATTCAAAAGAGTGCAGAGTATTGCTCTTGGCTGTGTATGTTTTATCTGAGAGTTGGTGAAGTCACAAAATTTGGTTGCTCTTACCGGTGCTTCCTATAATAGCTAGCATCTGACCACTCTGAACTTTTAAATTCAGATTCTGAATTATTGATACATGAGAACGGGGATCCGATTTCCAGGTCCATGGCATTTTCATGTGCGCGAGGTTTTCATACCAGGGAATCTGGGATGCCATGTTAACCTAACAGAAAGAAACAAGTCCCTTCAATTCAAACGATAAATTATTTAGCAATAAATAGCTTTAAAGTTATGATGTTACAAGCAGAGTAAATGTTAAAATAATTTTATCTTCAGAAATACAAGGAAGAAAGTTCTTTTACAGCCAAGTATGGTTTTCAAGCTTTGCTTCTTCTGTTAACCACTAAAGCTATCTCTGTCCTCTATTACTTTGGTAATTATTTCTATTGTAAATTACAGCCAAGTATGGTTTTCAAGCTTTGCTTCTGTTAACCACTAAAGCTATCTCTGTCTTCTATTACTTTGGTAATTATTGCTATTGTAACTTTTAAATGTTTAAAATTTTTAATACAATTTGAAATTACACAAAACCCAAAATTGTGATATCTACTTGAGATGCCATGGTCGCACAAAGGGAGATGAAAATTTCACTGTTTTCCTGAAATCTTCATTGTTAGTCATCTTCTCTTTGTCTCCTTCTGCATACTTGTTCTTGCCAGCAAGGGCTCCCACCATGCGTAGCTGGACAGAAAGTGCCTCTACCCCTGCTGTCAGAGGAATATTTGGCTCAAGACAGAAAAAACAGAGCCTAGAAACAGACCTCTTTTCCTGTCTTATTCCTTAACTTTCCTAGATATATTTACAATGGAGGGTTTAGCCTGCTGTCAATATTGTAGCCAAGAGCATGGTTCTGCTCACAGAACTTCTGTGTATTTGACTGTGCAACAGCTGTGTGAACTTTGTGTTGTGAACTTGAATTTTGTTTGGCTTTTAAAATGGCTTGTGTGTAGAAACAGGCATTGCTGGATATGCTCCCTGCTGAAAGGAGGTATATAAATTACAACTTTTACCTGGTAGTTGAGTTCTTTGACCTCGAGAACGTTTGGTTTTCCACTGTATGTGAAATACAGACTGTTATCTTCTTCAGAGCAAAAAATAGTATCCTGAGCCTTGGTCTGGAAAAGTTATTAGGTTAATTACAATAGTTAATTACAATACCTAAAGTGCTGTTAAAATTTGAGTTCAGAAAAGGCAAAGCACAAAGGTAAATAGATTTTCTGGGATAGAATAGTATTGTTGATGAGTTACTATAGTGCAAAAGTCTGAAGGGTTGAAATGAGTTATCTCTTCTATCTGCTTCCATTTCGAATGGGATGAGATAAATGTCATGCCACTATGAAGAGATTGAACGCTATTTCAATTTTTGAGGAAAAAATGTCCTGCTTCAGCAATATTAGTCTACTGGATCAAAATGGTGCATGTTGAAATTTTTAAGTTATGGCAGCTAAAAAATAAGGTTAACTGGAAGTATGTTTGTTATTCAGTTCCACAGGGCTCAGTACTCGGCCCAGTCTTGTTCAACTTGTTCATCAATGACCTGGATGAGGGGACAGAGTGTAGCAAGTTCGCTGATGACACAAAACTGGGAGGAGTGTCTGATACGCCGGAAGGCTGCGCTGCCATTCAGTGGGACCTGGACAGGCTGGAGAGTTGGGCAGAGAGGAACCTGATGAAATTCACCAAGGGCAAGTGCTGAGTGCTGCACCTGGGGAGGTCAAACCCCATGTACCAGTACAGGCTGGGGGCTGGCCTGCTGGAAAGCAGCTCTGCCGAGAGGGACCTGGGAGTCCTGGTGGATGACAAGCTGACCATGAGCCAGCAGTGTGCCCTTGTTGCCAAGAAGGCCAATGGTATTCTGGGGTGCATTAAGAGGAGTGTGGCCAGCAGGTCAAGGGAGGTTATCCTCCCCCTCTACTCTGCCCTGGTGAGACCCCACCTGGAGTACTGTGTCCAGTTCTGGGCTCCCCAGTTCAAGAAAGATAAGGAACTCCTAGAAAGAGTCCAGAGGAGGGCAACTAGGATGATAAAGGGACTGGAGCATCTCCCCTATGAGGAAAGGCTGAGAGAACTGGGCTTGTTCAGCCTGGAGAACACTGGGAGGGGACCTCATCAATACATACAAATATCTTAAGGGTGGAAGTCAAGAGCTGGAGATATTCAAAGCCCGCCTGGATGAAGTCCTGTGTAACATGCTCTAGGAGAACCTGCTTTAGCAGGGGGGTTGGACTAGATCTCCTGAGGTCATTTCCAGCACTTGTGATTCTGTGACTTGTTTACTTGGAGGCTTTATGAACAAGTAGGTGTGGAACCACAAGTACAGTCCCTTTTTTCTCCTCTTTTGTTTCTTAAATTCACAGTTTGTAAACTGGAACTTAGTGTTCTGAGACACCAGTTAAAATAACGGTATCTGCTTGGCTTGGTTAACCTTTTGCATATAGTTGTAATTAAGAAGTCTTTGCTAAGGCAGCTTTCTGGCTTTAGGTTTAATTCTGTGTGCATGCCTGTAGTTTTTACTCCAGACAGCCATATCTCTCTCACAGCCCTGTGCCTTTCCTATGAGTTAGACTCATACCCTGGCCAAGGCAAACATACCTTTGCAGACCCTACCCATGCCTGTGGTATCTTTGGCAGATGGTGACCACAGTCTTTGTGTGCACCTCCTACCCTCACAGCAAACGAGGCTGATTAATTTTTCAGTCTAGATACACAGCGGAAAGCAGCGTGACACCAAGCAGCCTGAAAAGCCACATTAAAGTTTCCCCTGCTGCCAAAGGACTTTGCACTCTTGCTTATGTTGAACTTAATTTTTAAAAAAACAGGTGGTTCCCAGCAAATGTGGGGAGCTGGTTTTACAGCCCGAAGGCATGTCCTGGGAAAGGCTGTCCAGGCCATGCTCAGGGACCTTCTGCTCCATCCGCTTATTTGAAGATGCCCTCCCTCAGCTGCACCAGCATGGCATCTGAGCACGGCATGCATGGCACCGGCCTCAGCCCCAGTGTGTTCTTGTGGGGGTTGCAGACACTTTCTGCTCCCCATTTTGGAGCTGGAGGAGGTAAGGGCTGGCTGTCTGCAGAAGCCCGGCCGGCAGGCTGGCCACCCGCCCCTCCCAGCTCCCGGGCAAGCGCTGTAGCTGCCGGACGGCTGAGCCCATCGGGTCCCTCCCCGCTCCCCACAGGTCTCACTCACCGGCAAGCCCTTGCATGCCACCTGGCTCCAGCCAGCACTGTCCAGAGAGACGTTATCAGTGGCTTCCTTCATGTTGGCAGTGGAAGATCTTGCTCCCTGCGGTGGTTTGACTGTTGTCTCTTTGCAAGCTGTGGAAATCCTTTCTTTTGAGCTCAGCCCTTGTCAGGCACCTTCACCGCAGCACCATTTCTCCTGGCGTGCTGTGTCTCTGCGGCTGGCGTGACCTCGTGGACAGGGAAATATTCCCCTCCTCTGGGACAGCAACAGCTCGGGCTAAAGGTACATCAGATAGCAGCTTCAGCTAATCACTTATCAGTCATTCTCAGGAAAAAGAACGAACTGAGAGCCCTCTATTTTCTTTTAGGTGCTTCTCCGAGTGGCGAGTGCCGGGGACGGTGACCTGCTCCGACCCGGGGACAGCGGGGAGCTGCCCCTGCCCAGCGCCGGGGGAGGCATGGTGGTGGCGGCAGCGCTGGGCACCCGGCCAGCAGTGTGAGGGAAGGGAGCCTGCAGGGTCCCCAGCACCGGAGGACGTCGGGCAGAGGGTCTCCTGCCCTGGAGAGGAGCAGCAACGGCGGGCAGACAGGCGAGGCGAAGGCCATGACGCAGCCCTGCGACAGCATCAGTGTCCGGGGCGTCTCCTACACTGTCAGGTAGGGCTGGGAAGGCGGCATGGCGAGCCTGTGCCCGCCAGGATCTCCTCTGACCCCAGGGACTGAGGGGAGAGGGGCTGGGACCTTGTGGGCTTCGAGTTCAGCTTCAGCTGAGTAAAGAAGGAGGGATGTTGCCAGGCTGCCCGCCTCACGGCGCTGGGCCGCTTGCCGCAGTGCGTGGTGTGAGGGAGGCAGAGCCAGTCTGTCCTCCCGAGGGTTCACCAGTTCTTCATCGCGTGTCTCTGAAGGAGATGCTTTAGAGGAGATTTCCAAAGATCGTGCCCTTTCCGACTTCCTTTCTTACTGCTGCCAGAAGATAAAGTGAGGCCCTCAGAAAATGGTCAGGTGGATTAATGGCTGGCAAACATCGTCAACAAATGAAGCTTCAGTTCAGGTTTCGCCTTTCGGTTGTAGTCCAAAAGCCTAGCAGTCATTCTGAAAAATCTGTTCAGACTTCATTTTATCATCCAGATAATGCTGAAGTTAAAAAGTTAAACTGGGGAGGAAAGGGGAAAGAATTTTTTTTGTTGTTTTTCAACATTTTAAAATCTTTGCATCCCACATGCAAATAACTATAAACCATTCACTTGTTTATGCAAAACATTAAATTTTCCGCTCGTTCATCTTCTTTTGGTGTTTGTTTTCCAAGAGAACGTGTTGGCCCATGGTGGAACATTTCTTTATATCGTAAAAAATGGACCCGGCAAATACTTAAGGATGTTTCATTTCACATAGAGAGTGGCCAGATTATGGGGATTTTAGGAAATTCTGGTAAGTTGTTCCAGTACTTTAAAAGAAGTAATAATGGAGTTAATATCGGTGACTTTCATAGTGGTGTGAATGTGACAGAGGTCTGTGTTTTAAATAATGAAATTGCAGCTGGTTTTAACCCCTGCTTTGTAAAAATGTGGTACTTGGTTTTCAGACTTCAGTCTTCTGTCATCTAACTAACGATTATAAATTCAATAAAAGATAAGGTTACTTCTAAACCCAGACGTTTCACTATGAATTGTGAATTTGTATGAATTAAATGCTAATTTACACACGTTCTAGGTTTCCAATTTACTTCCCCTTAACTGGCTGCATTTTCAGGCCTATTATTTTAATGTTATTGAGACAAAAACCACCTTTATTCTTTTCATATGTCTCCATCCAAGCGAGGCTACCACTCTTGAAATCATAAAATTCATCTCATCACATGATTAATTTCTTTTGTGTGAAAGGATCTGGGAAAACAACACTTCTGGATGCAATATCAGGAAGATTGGGACATAAAGACAACTTCTTTGGTGAAGTGTATGTGAATGGGCGTCAGCTGAAGAAGGAACAGTTTAGAGATTGCTTCTCTTATGTGCCACAGGTTGATTTCTACATTTATTTTTTTGTGCACTATGCTTCCTCTCATATAAAGAAAGTAAAACTGCCAGTGTAATGGAGTAATGTAATCTGATTGTGATTTTACTAGTAAATTTGGTACAAAGAGGCTAATAAATTGTATGAACGAATGAAAGTGCGAGCAGGGGGCAGATCTTAATTACTACAGGACTAACTGCTTCTTCCTTTTCACTTTTTTTTCCAGAGTGACACTTTGTTAAGTTTCCTTACCATACAAGAGTCTCTGACCTACACTGCTTTACTAACTCTTCAGAAATGCTCCAACAACTTCATCAAAAAGAAGGTCTGTATTTTATCGTCTTCCACCAGAAAGGCAGACGTGATGTCACGTAATGCTTTCGCCAGCACCATTTTCCATCCATGGCTGTGTTTTACGTTTATAAGGTTTTGTAATCCTCATTCTGCAAATGGGGAGAAACCCTCCTGCTGAGGAGCAGGACATAAGCTCTCTGGTGCTCCCCACTTGTGCTGATGCCTCAGGGAATCACCATTATGGTGGGACAAAACTCTCCCGCCCAAAGCTGCAGCAGTTGCTGCTGCAGGAGATGCTGCTATTGGTGTCAAGGTCAGTTCCCCGTCCCCAGCTGGTAAACCCAGTTCTCTGGGGTGTTTAGGGCTATGTGTGCTGGCAAGTCTTGTGGACAGCAGAGGTGACTGACACTACTCTGGCTCCTGTAGGTTGTCTCTCACTGACCAGAACAGCTGCGAAAAGTACTGGTGTAATAAGCCCCCTACAAGTTACTTCCTTAATAAAATAGGTGTGTTTCGGATCTATTAAAGGACTCTTTTGGGCCTCTGTTAGAGAGTAAAGATTGGATATTCCTGGTCAAAGGCTCTTTCTCTCTGTGTTCTCTCCACCTGTCTTCCTCTCAGTGTTTTATATGTCCACAGAATTGATGTGCCTTTCTGCTCCCTTATTTTGGAAGCCAGACCAGCACATTATGCTTCATACCTTAACTTCTAGTCCCACCTCTGAACTCTTCATCTCTTAATGTCAACTGAAGCTAAAGTTCTACTCATTTCAGAATAAATGCAAATAAAATTTAAAAACCAATAACTGAAATAATGTATTAAAAATAATCAAATAGAAATGAGGCCAGATGACTTCCAACTAGAATGGATGCACGCATCATGTTGGGAAAGCCATAACTTAAAATTATGTCTCTTTTTTTGTTGTTGTTGTTGTTTTTCATTTTTTCTTTTTTTTTTTTTTTTTGTTTTTTTTTCATTTTGCACATGGGTATCTGAGCTTGGCTGTGTTTAGTCTTTCTATATTGTAATTATTTTTCAGGTAGATGCGGTTATGGCTGAGCTGAGTCTCAGCCACATTGCTGACAAAATAATTGGAAGCCGTATTTTTTTAGGAATTTCTGGCGGTGAGAGGCGTCGTGTTTCAATTGCAGCCCAGCTATTACAAGATCCCAGTAAGTACCACTGCATGGATTTCCAAAATTAAATAAAGCGGTGTCGCTTTGCACTCCCACCATAGACCTCCATAAACCACTTTAAAATACAGAAGCATTTATATTCTGTAATTCAGCAAAAGCTAGTCTAGTGATGACAAAAGAGGATGGGCAGTAACTCAGGTCTGCCATTAATCTATTTGTTGATCTTGGAAAGCAAACAATTTTAAAGTCTTAGGGACTTTATACTTGCATTTATCCATTTTAAATCTTTCTGGGCTTGCCCTTCCAGTGTATGAATTGCTGGTTGTGTCACGTTAATTTGTAGTTTTTTCTGAGCACATCAGAGCCATGTAGTGGAGTAGCTGCCATTGAGCCATGTATGTGTGAGCACCATGTGCATTCCAGAGCCAAAAGGGTAGTCAGCACATGAGATTTGCTCCTTTGGAAAAGACATAAACAAAACAGAGTAAATGCTCAGAAGCATAATAGCCCTCATGTTGCATTGCCCTTGATAAGAGACCAGATACAGATGAATACCACACTTCTATATGTGGTTGTAGATTTACTGTAAAGAAAAAATATCTGATGAATGAAAATCAAAGGAGAGTAACTAGAAGGATTAGTCATGGGAAACAGCACTGTAAATTTTGTCAGTTTTGAGATAGTTTCTTAAAGGTGCCAGAATCTGATGGGGTGAATGTATAGCACGCTTTTTTTTTTGGATTCTGGAGTCCTCGTAGTAGTGCAGATGTGCTAGAACTGCGTATCAGGCAGGAAGGAGCATTTAAATAGCAAAGTGAAGTATATCACAGGTACTGGTGTGCTGCTAGTGACACCTGGAGAGTTCATTGGGTGTAGCTATTCTCAGTAAAGTTCATTAAACTCTATAGTAAACATAGAGTAATTCTGTGTAGATAAACCTATAGAGAAAGCTCTCCTCTGCTCTTGTCTTGATCAAGGTTGAATTGCCCTCTCCTGTGCTATGTGTCATCTCTGTGAAAATAATGGATTTGACTGTAACTGTTACCCTTCCATGTGCAATGAAATCACAAAGAAAATGCAGTAAAAACCCCTTACCTCTCTCATCTATGGATTTATATATGCTGTATTTTAACAACTCTTAATTTGTTCACAACAAATTCTCTGTGTGTATATAGATTTAATTCAGATGAAAAACTTCTAGCTAATTATGTCATTTATATTTACATTTGTATACAAGCTGAAATTTATTATTGTGCTTAGGAAATGTATACATCAAATCTATTTTGGTAATTTTCAGATTTCACCTGGACTTAGGAAAAAAAAAAGATTATTCTCTCATCCTGCAGTAGGTTTTTATGTCCTTATTCCTAGCCATTGCAACTGAACCACTGAAGCTACCTAAAACTGAAAGACCACAACATGGCAGTATCTATGCATACTCTGCTTTACACATGGAGCTTTACATGTGAAGTAATGTCTATACTACTTGCCAAATTAGCTTCAAAGGCAAAAGCTATAACATTTTCTCCCCATTTACCTGAGTTCTAATGCTATTCCTTGTCATTTCACAGAGGTCATGCTACTTGATGAACCGACAACAGGGCTGGACTGCCTGACTGCAAACCAGATTGTTTCG